TTATAAATATAAAAACGCAAAATTAAAAATAAAATGTCATTATTGCAAAAAAAAATACAAAATGTGTGGCGCTATGGCCCATAGCGACACCATGTCGCTATGGCCCATAGTGCCTCTCTTAAAAAATACATATAATTTAATTTAAAATTACATTTTTATAAAACTGAATTTTCTTTTTATAAATATATAATAAATACTTCAATTTATTATTTTTATTTTACATTTCTATTATTTTCGTTTTTTTTTTATTTTTTTCTTTATAGAGTGTCGCTATGGGCTAAGTTATTTTTCTTAGTCCATCAACTGTGGTGATCTAGCCTATAGCGACACTCATGTGGCTCATTCCAGCCAACCAAGATCAAAAAAAAAAATGCTACCACCGGTGTCGCTATGGGCCATAGCGACACCGTTATAAACAGTCCCAAAAGCGTAAATAGTTTCAAAACAACCCCATTTGCGTAATAAACTTTTAAAACAACTCCACTTTGGTCAAAAAGCCTCTGAAAGAAAGACGCCGAAATTTCTTTCGAATTATTAAAAAATTAAATAAAATAATTATTTTATAATAAATTTATTAAAATATAATAATATTTTAATAATTCAGACGATGAATCGTTTCCACTTCTGTAGCAGTGCTCGGTGAATTATGGAGTCCTGAGAAATTCTCTTCACATGTTACAAGGACTCTTGCAAATTTAAAAATATATATATATATATATATAAATACGTAGTATAAATTATAAAATAATTTAGGTACCATATCAATTTAACAAAAAAGAAAAAGAAGTACATGTATCAATCACATTTAATAATAATTAGAATAGTTTTTTTTACACAGATAAAGGATATGTATTAACAATATAAAATCTACATTATTATTTAATCACAAATATTGTGATAAATTTATTAATTTTTTTTATAATTATTTTAAAAATTATATAAATAATAATTTTTTTTATTAATTAACGATGTAAAATTTTAAAAAAATCTTTCATTTTATTTTCGAGTACTTGTAAAGTTATAAATTATATAGATTATATTTATATTAAATTTTCTTTATTTTGATCCTTATGTTAAAGTAGGTTAAATTATTTTTTCCACTTATTCATTTAATTTGATCTTTTATCGATAAAAAAAAGTTCAATTTGATCGTCAACTTTAAAAAATGATAGATATTTAAACTATTATTCTTATCTTGCAACTAAATGGTTTAAACTTCGTTTGAAAATTTCATCAATTAAGGAATACTCGGAGGCTAGACTAATCTTCAAGTAATGGTTTTAAAAATGGTTTGTAGGAGTCGCCACCAATGTTTTATTCAAAATATTGGAAAAAGGAAAGATTTTTAAAAGTCCAATAATGGCCTTGATAACCAAAAATTGTGTTCAGGGGTCAATTACTTGTAGGGAAGGTATTAAGCACCCCTACAACGCCCTAAATTGGTACCCTACGATGAAGATAATATGATAAGAATTAATAATTTAAATATTTAGTCCCCTTTATGAATGCTTATTTACATGCTTGAAGTTTCAATTACATAGTTGATCTTAAAGTGTCTACATGGTTGCTTTTATTATAACTATTTAAAATAAGGAAATAGAGAAAAGAGAAGAGAATTGACTGAAATAGCTCTTGATCGAGCTTTATTAGATCTTTAAATATGGATATTTTAGGTGCTTTGTGGCAGCCTTACACACTACAATGTGTCTCACAAATCTCAAGAAATACAAAAAAAGGGAGAGAAAGAATTTTTGAACTATATGAGACTTCCTAGATGATTATTTTTCGACCCCGGGAGCAGTGCCTGAGTCTGTTATTTATAGATATAAAAAATGGCCAGAATGACACGTTCTGGAATCAGAACGGCTCGTTCTGGAATCGAAACGGCCTATTCTAGATCAATTTGTTATGATTTAAATTTGAAACTGGAACGACCCATTTCAGATTTGAATTTTACTCATAGAACTTGTGTTGGAATGCCCCATTCCAAATTAGGGTTTCTAGGCCTTTTTAGTAGTTTGGAACGGCCCGTTCCGGTTTGGGAACGACTAGTTCCGGGCTACTAAACCAACCTTATTGCGCTTTTGGCCTTCTAATGTCATATCATGTTGTTTCCATTGATGAAGGCCCATGGGCCAAAGGCCCAACTACTAGGGCTATGGCCAAGAGGATGCATGAAGAATGGGCCAATGCTCAAGAGAAGCCCATAGTACTTTTTAGTTAGGCTTTAACTCAAGCCCATGTAGATTAGGGTTGGGCCCATTGGGCTTGTATTGTATTTTGGGCCTTGTATTTTGGCCACCTAGATTAGGAATTTCATTTCATTGCCATTTGAATTTAGGGTTAATTTAGGTTGTCATGTGCATTTTAATTTACATGTTATTAGTATCACATTTGGAGGGCATTTCGGCCATGTGCACTCGTGCACATGGGGTGACCGAAATTACTCCTAAATGCATGCTAAATCACATGCAAATTAGGAAGCACATGGGGGTGACGGGTCTTGGCACCAAAATTTGAATTCAAACATTCAAATTTTGGCGCCTAAGGTTAGTTAAACCATACCATGGTTTAACTTAACCTTGGGTTAAGCCTAACTTGTTCACCACACTTTCCAACCCTATAAATTCATTATGGTCGGACTTGTACTCACTTTAGAAATTTATGAGAATTCACTTCTTTGGAGCCGTTCCAAAACGCCAACCACATACGTACGTTTAATAAAATGTCGCAATGTGATTCAAAAATTAAAAATAAAAATCCATAACATATCATAAATTCAAAGACAGAAATATGGTTCAAAGAAGTCCTTTAAAATCCTAATCCAATACACCCCCCTTAGTTTGTTTCATCAAATTAAAAATGACGGTGTTAACTTTTTATGTATTTGATACAATAAAAAATAAATGACACGTCTTATGAAAAAAATTCAATTACACTAATTTTAAAAAATTAAGAGATCTAATTAAAATTCAGTGATAAACAGAATAAATTGAATCAATTTAATAAAAATTGATAACAAGAGAGTAATTTAGTCTGATATTTGTTATCTTTCAACCTCGTTTACTTCGTAGGCTAAAATAAAAATAATAAAAAATGAGTTAATCACTGTTAGTGTAAAGTTTTTTTTATATTGGAAACCAATCAGATCTGTTAATAATATCATGTCATTTGTTCATTTAATTAAATTAAAATAAAAAAGGCACTATTAACAGATCTGATTGGTTATTAGTGTAAAAAACTTTACACTGACAGTGTATAAGTGATTAACTCATAAAAAATAATAGGAATATATATATATGAGTTAATCACCTATACACTTTCAATGTAAAGTTTTTTTACACTAACAACCAATTAGATCTTTTAATTGTGTCATGTCACTATAAACACATTTACTTTTAACAGTGACATAACACAATTAAAAGATCTAATTGGTTACCAGTGTAAAAATTTTTTACACCGGTAGTATATAAGTGATTAACTATATATATATATAAATAAATGATAAAAAAAAAGGAAAACTTAACCAAAACAAACTTAAAAAGAATACATGTGAGTGATAAATTGCTTCAAATATTTCTGAGTAACCACTTTCAATGACTATCTTAATCACTATGTTAAAAAGTAGAGAGCAAATTGTCCAAGTAATCACTCCCCAAGTCCTGAAACACAAAAACATCAAGTTCATTTTCCAGAACCCTATCCAACCTTGCCATTTTTTTGGTTACAGGTTCTTCATTCACCACATCCACAAACCCTTCCTTTCTCTTCTTCATGCCATTGTAACTCTTTTCTGTGTCCCAACCTGCTCCTTTCTGACCTGTTTCTGAAGCCTGTGCAACAACAACTGTCTCAAGTGGAAAGTTGAGGTATGCTTTTGGACCCCTAATTCTCAAAGCAGCCTTGTCATAAGCCAGAGCTGCTTCTTCAGCAGTTTCAAATGTGCCAAGCCAAACTCTAGCACCTTTCTTTGATGAATCTCTAATCTCTGCTGCATATTTACCCCATGGCCTTCTCCTTACTCCCCTATAGTGTTTTGCTACCACCTTTTCTCCTCTCACACCATCAGCTTCCACCTTGTTTTTGTGTCTAGTAGCAGTGCCAATTCCCATAATGGTGTCACCAGAATCTTCTGTATTGGTTGCAGCAGTTAGAATACTATATAAACTTTGTTCCCAGAAATCAGCCCCCATTGATATCCATCTCCCTAAACTTGGAAGCCTTTTCAGAATTTCCATTGACCCTTCTCTTCCATCAGGGTTAGGCTGTTCTTCCAAAGAGTGAGGAGAATCTACTGATGCATCACCTCTTCTGTCACTGCTCATAATTTTAGCCCACACATTCTCTAGAATCTCTTCAGAAGATGCCTGAATAGCCATGTGAACTTGGTTGTCACATAAGTGAATAAGATTAAGATAGGAGAAGGAATATATAATGTGAAGATATATAAAGGATATATTTATCTATGTCGTTTTCCCTAATAGTAGTACCGTAAATGAAATTAGTCTTTAATATATATCATGTCAGGGAAGAAATTAATATATATTTGAAATGTGGAGGCTCTTTGACAGCTCAGCGTGGGTTTATCATGCTAAATGAACGAAAACTTAGTTGGAAACTTGTGTTTTAATCCACAGATAGACCATATAAGGAGGATTTTCAACGTTAAGAAAGGTGTTGAGGTAATGGTTTTGTTAATATTTTATTGCTTCCTTCTTGACTTGTGTGCTTGTTCAATCATTTGGAACTTCACCCCATGCATATCATATGCGTGCTTTATGCATTGAATTGGAATATATTCGTCTAGCTAAGCTAACACGGATCGATCAAACATTCAGAAACAAAGGGGCAGAAGCATTTCAAAGCTGGCGACAGCGAACTTGGTTGCTTTTTCTTTGGTTTAGAACAGCTAATACATAATTCAATGGATGCTAACCCTCCTTCCCCCATCATCTCAACATAACTCAATGGATGCTTTCATGTCAAATTTTCACAATACAAGTTGATACTCAAATCTCACGTCCATTTTTTTTCCTAGATAAATACTAAATATATACCCGAGAGATAAATACATGTCAAGTTTAAACTAGCTACACATATTAAGAAAAGTCATTTCCATTCCTATATTATCCCACATAATTCATTTATATATATATATGGACATGATTATATAATATTTTAAAATTGACAATCAAACATTACTTTAATCCAATGATTTTCTTTGACTCGAAATGAGCATCACAACCGTTGCACAAGTATTATTCCTACCTAATTCATATAATGTTTTTTTATTTTTTTTCTGTCAACCTCTTGATACTCCTCATCGTTCTTTTGAATCATCGTGTGAATCACTTCAAGCCATCAATGTAGTTGCATCACCAAACATTCTAAATCAAATTAATTATTTTGTAGGGGAATGATGGTTAATTGTTATAAAAAAATTTAATGTACAAGTGTCATACGTAATAATGTGGGATGATTTCTGTCAGTTTTTTTAATTTTATTTAACTCTTAAATTACATAATTATCAAATAAAATGTAGAGTAAATAGAATTTATAGAATATTCTAGTGAAGTATCCGTAGCAAACAGTACTCTATTTTGTATTGTATAACTTATCAGAGCAATGTTAGCAGTGGAACATTGCTTACACAATGATATGTTTGCTTGGTCCGTCAATGATACGTCTTTCGATAGCTAGCAATTATAATTACGATATTATATACTTTAATTTCATCACTAGATCTTAATAGTTTCATCAATAATATATTTTGTTTAGATGGAATATATATGGACGGGTAGAAGACCACGTGATGGAAAAGCTGAAAGTTTAATACTTCCTTGTGTTCTTAATTATTATCATAATTAAATTAGAAGATTGGCTTTATAATTTTATAAATAAAAAAAATGAGTAATTGATTATTTTGATCTTTTAATTTAGAAGATGTTGTTGTATTAAAGAATGTTTTGATACAAGTTTCCAAAAACTTTTAAAAGTTTTTTCATTAAAAAAAGTACGCTTTATTTTTAGTATATAAGTTCATAAACTCTTTTAAACTGTACATAAATAGATTCATAGTCTTTGAATATGAAAATATTAAATAAATTTTAAAAAATACAAATTAATAATTACATTGATTAAAAATAACAATCGCTAGTAAAAGAATTTTTTTTTAAAAAAGCATTGTTCCACTTCACTTAAGTTATTTTATATTATTACCCATTACATGTTTATAGCTTATATATCTCCATATATACATGAGTCAGGAGGGGTGTGTACACATAAATTTAAATAATTTTGAATGAATTATAAGTCAAAACAAGGTGGCGTGAGAAGTAACCCCAAGAGGAGAGATTGATTAAGAAAGGGATTGATTGATAATTGGTGGATGATATATAAAATAGAAGCCAAGAGGCACGGTGGTATTATAAAAATAGAAATGTACAACGTCATCAGACTCACCATCACCACAAAGATAATTTATTTTTATTCACAAATTATATATATATATATATATATATATATATGAAAGAATACCTATTTTTTATTGGATCAATCTTTATAAAATAAAGTAGTATTTTTAGTTATAAGAACAAATTTTTTTTTTCTATATATACAATCTACGCATTGATTGATAACTAATAATTAAAGATTAATTTATGTTGGTGTGGTGTAACTTTTGCTAATTAAATATTATTTTGTAGTTTAAATAATATTTTTAAATTTTATTTTATTTATATATATATTTTTTTTTTCTTTTAAAATATTCATTTTATACTTATTTTTTATATTTTAATTAATTTGGTCCTTTGAAAATAATAATAATTTTTTAAAAAAATTTGTGACATAGTTTTGAATTAATTTTCAATTGATTTATAACATGAAACTTGAAGCATTAAATTCAAATTATGAAATTCAATCTATGTTCGAATCCAAAAGACTACAAACATAATGAAAATTGTATGAAAAATATATCTTATAAACAACTAAAAATTATTATGAAATTATATATATTTTTAATATTTTTAATTTTTTTGAACTTATTTTTATGCAATTGTTACTATATTTGTAACATTTTCTTTATTTGAACTTAATAGTTTTTATATAAGTGAATCTAATAGATCAAGTTTCAAATCTTATATCAGTCAAAAAATAATCTGAAATCATGTCACAAAATAAAAAATTATTATTATTTAAAAAAGAATTAAATTGATCCAAATTTAAGAAATAATAAATCAAAATAAATATTTAAAAGATAAAGAATCAAAATAAATTTAATAAATAAAATAAAGGACAAAAACATAATTTAGTCAATTTTATATCAATATTAAATTTTTTAAAATTTAATTAATTAAGATGGACTACGAGTTTATGAATTTTTATTTAAAGTTAGAAAAAATCATTATAATATGATTTTATTTTTAATATTAAGGAGCGTCGAGACTTAAAAAAAATTACATTAGAATACTACGTGTCACAACAAGACCCATTTCATCTCTTATTAACAAAGTAAACAATCCGTAGGTGAATTATCTAATGTATGTTAGCCTATAATGAGTTAAAGAAATCATGCAGTCAACTATCATATTAATATCACTAAATAGAGGAGAAAAATTAACTTTCCATACCCTTCGGGTCCAATCTTTAATAAATTGGACTAAAGACCAATAAGGTGAGACCTGTTGGGATTCATCCCAAGTCCCACATCGGTAAAATGAAGGAACATTGGCTAATTATTAAGTGTCCACCAATCCACATAGTATGAGGCCTTTTGGGAAGGAGCCCGGAAACAAAACCGTGCGGGCTTAGGCCCAAAGCGGACAATATCATACTATGGTGGAGTAACAGGTGGACTAACGGGCCCTACAAGACCTTCCCACATCATTCCTGACAAACAGAATAACAATTAAATCACTCAATTACAAGTTTCTTCACCCCTTATTCCATGATAGAAATAGGAGTATAAGTAGCTCTTCATAACAACATTATTAGTAGATCCCAAAATTTGTCAAGAATCCACCACGCCAATTACCATTTTCATTTCTTAAAATATCAACACAAGAGACTTGCATCCTACTTTGTCTAAAAGATTCATCAACATCAATTTATAATAAAGTTAATTTTAAATTTAAATCATCATTTGAAAAATAATAGAAATATATGACTAACTTAATTTTAATTCTAAATCTTATAATGAAAGATGTATTATTAGGATGGCAAAATGGATCGTCCATTTTGACTCGACCTATCAATGGCCCACAAAAGACGGATCAGGTTGGGCCGGCCAGCCATCGAAAAATGGGTTGGAAATGTTGGCATATCCTACTTAAAGGGGGGTTGGCAAATCAGTAGACTAGCCAGAAGGGAAATCATCTAGATAACGATGAAGGTGTCAATAATATATCTTATCCACCATCTGGATATCAGCATTATCTACCTGTACATGTGGTTGTGTTGTGAAATGTTGGTCTTGTGTATCCTCTACCTTTACTTCAGGTTGTACCTCCTCAAGAACATGTTGTTGTTATTGAGGTACATCGATCAATGACTTCAATGGGAAACACCATGTCATTTCATCCTTGACTGTATAGTGTCAATTTGGTAGTAAGTGGTTCACTCCAGTTTGACTAACAATGAAATAAAACTTGCTACCATTGTCCTTAGTGATACATTGCATTGTCCTTAATGATACATTGTATAGCTCAAATGTTTAGCAATTGAAGTTATCAATGCCCATTGACAATATTACCAAATCCAGTGTTTGAAATGCTTTGTACCTTGAGTCTTTTTTCTTGCACGATTCACAACTGTGAAGTATAATCATCGACCGTTTGTATTTGACATTCTGAACCAGAACGGCCCGTTCTAAAGCCAGAACGGTCCGTTCTAGTTGCACTTTTTGTGTGTTAATTTTGGACCTGAAACGGCCCGTTCCAGGTGCAAAATTAACACACCAAGAG